CGGCCACTCCTAGTGGGTTCGGCCACTCCTAGTGGGTTCGGCCACTAGGGGTTTAACACCCTAAAAACATGTCTAAAATTTATTCTTCCATAGGAGCGGATGCCTTCTGAAAATCTGAAACCTCCAGAGTTGTAGTAGCAGCTTCGTGGATTACTATATGTGCAACGTTGGACTCACAACATGAATGATACTTGGCAATGGCCTCAGGAGTAGCTCGGCATATGCATGACCAATGATCCTTATATCCACGGTGGTAGCACATGTCCAGTTCAGTGGAATTCGATTGAACGGTACTTTTTCATTTGTTTTTGAAGTTTGGGGCCTTCGAGGCAAGGGGTTGGCGCTTCTGGTTCAAGTTTCCTCCCTTGGATGGGCCTTTGTTCGGTGGACCTTGGGCTCGTGGTGGAGCTTGACGTCTTTTTCCATGGCTATGACGGGATCTCCATCGGTTATGGCGCTAGAATTTGTCGCATGCACTTCAGGTGCGGCATTCGAGCCAATAAGTCAAGCTTGATGATTCTTCATCAAAAGCTAGTTCTTCTTTTCAACGAGAAGTATAACAGATATCAAATTCAAAAATTTGGTGAATTTATATGTCCTATATTGTTACTGCAGGACAATATTGATGGCATTGAAGGTCGAATAAGTCTTATCAAGGAGATCTTGTTCGGTTAAGTCCTTGTTACAGAACTTAAGTAGTGATCAGATTCTACAAACTTCAAAGTTGTATTCATTCATAGACTTAAATTCTTGGAAGTGTAGATGCTACCGGCCATGTCTTACTTCAGGCAAGAAGATGTCTTTCTGGTGATCGAAGTGATCTGCCAGGGTGAGCCAAAGGGTACGTGGATCCTACTCTGCGAGGTACTCGGTCTACAGTGCATCATGGATGTGTCTTCGGATGAAGATCATAGCAGTAGCTTTCTGAGCGTTGTCGACGGGTGCATTGTCGGTTGGTTCCTCGATGGTAGCTCTAAGACTCTTTGCAGTAAGGTGGAGCTTCATGTCTTGAATCCACTTTAAGTAGTTTCTTCCGGAGACTTCCAGAACGATGACATCGAGCTTGTTCAAGTTCAACATGTCCTTACAACAAAACATGGTTAGTCATATGGAAAACCATAGACATACATCGTAAAACATTCGGATTCTATAGAGATGTATTGGTTTAATTTATGCATGAAAGCTACAGGTTTCATATCTTAAGTTTTGAATGAAAACTTCGGGTTTCAAAGGCACTAAATTTGAAACTACAAGTTTGATTTAATTATGAACGTTTAGTTCATATATAGGGGTACCTGCAAGAATACAATACAATATACAATAAAGTGTAGTGGATTTGTGGATTGCTTCAGGAACCCAAGTGTGAGTGTTTCAGGACTACGAAAGATAGTCAACGGTTCAAAGAGATGAAATAATTTATTGAATCGTTAATGCCAAAAAGTGAGCTTCAGACTAATAATTTTAGATTAATTGTCAGATTAGTCAACTGCTGGTGATTTTAATTTATTCAATAGAATGAGACCATTTGGGGTTGATCCTAAAAGCAAAAATAATTATAACATGCAGGTTAAAATGATTTAAAATGCCAAAAATAACATTGAATTCGAAAAACCATAGCCCAAACATGGGGGTATGGGTGCCGTGAGTAGGGCAAAGCCCTATAGGGTTTATTGGGCTCGGGTGGCTATAGAAAGCAGCCCAATGTGTGGCTTCAGGCCACGGGTCGAGTGATGGGAAGCCCAGCAGCAAGTTGATGGCCTTATAGGCTGAGACCAATGCACGGGGATCAAGCCCAAGGGCTTGCGAGGGTGCGAGGAAACCCCAACTGGAGCTGGGTTTCAGTTATTGGGCCTTAGGGACAAGCCTATTCATCTGGGCTGGCTTCTGGTATCGCGGACCGTGGCAAATACAAACCCAGCAAGTCAATGAGGTTGTTGTAGATGGGCAGGGACTTCAGGCCCATGTCAGGAACAAGCTCAGCATGCTTCTAGCATATGGGTATGGGTCGAGTTTGGACTGGGGCTATAAGCTCGTGTAGCAGACAACCTAAGCTGAAGCCTGGTTAGGTCCAAGAGATGCAGCAAACCTAGAGGGCTGTGCGCAAGGTCCAGGGAGTCAAAGCAACGCCGTCCCAAGGTAGTCCACGAGGCTGGGCTTCAGGCCAGCGCGGTGGTCTTGATGGTGGTGTTGCGGTGCAGCAAGCCTAGAGGGCTGTGCGCAAGGTCTAGGGAGTCAAAGCAACACCGTCCCAAGGTAGTCCACGAGGCTGGGCTTCAGGCCAGTGCGGTGGTCCTGATGGTGGTGTTGCGGCGGTGCCGCAAAAATCCCATATTTTTGTGTTTTTTTTTCGTATTCTAAGGTTAAAAACCCTAATTGCTTCTAAATTAATTTCGATTCTTTAACTCACAATTCCACATAGCATAAATGCGCAATGCATGAACAATTATATATATTGACAAAATATATGAATATATATACGATATATATAATTGGAAGGAAAATATAAATATAGGGGGTTCATGCATCATGGGGAATGTTTTCATGCTTCAAGTTTTTTCAAATATCTTAATTTATTTTAGAAGAACCTGATTGACAGAAAACAATTGAAAGCCCTTGAATTTGTAAAAGAGAGCCTTCAGTTCCTTAGCTTCTGGTAAGAGTGTGTTGATAACATGTTATAGGTTTATTTGACTGAGCTATATAAAGGACAGAGAAGGAGAGAGGCCGGCGGCAACATAGAGAGAAGAGAGAGATTTAATTCTGAGGTGTGTGTTGTATCACCCCCTTATGCCTTTATTTATAGTAGTAAGATAGGTAGAATCTTTACCCTAATATGATTACATCTCTAATAAGAATTAAACTATTAAAGGGAATATACAAGATACTCCTAGATACACTAGGATTTACACAATCACATTCTTAATCTGATAGGATTGCAACAATATGATGTATATTTTTTTTTCTTTCCAAAACAAGTCTTCAAAATGTTGTTCATTTTATTGGTCAATTTAGGTACATCTAGCTTTTGACATAACACTATTAGTTTATAGTGCATTTGGGTTGTAAACATATGTTGACCTTAAAAACTACCAAGCCTACATGGCGCGCAGGCCGAGCAAGTAATGAGCTAACTACGTCATTCGATTGCATGCGGGCGTGCCAACTTGACGGCTGAGCTTGGCCGATGAGTAAAATTTATTGATGTTGCGTCGGGCGGGTTGCTAACTTCTGAATCTCGCGACTGCGGCCGAGGAAGGAATATGTCTTGGCTTTCGGGTTCTAGAGCCTGAAGACAAGGCAGCTAGTTTTATGAAGTTAACGGATCGTTGGCACCGGGTTCGGTCACGGTGATTATATTCGTGAGAGTATAAGCATGCCGAACTGGCTCCAAACTATACGAACATAAGTACTCAAAGGAAATATATGTCTTGATGATAAACGTGGTTCAGCCGTCAGAATATCAAACTCTAAACCCTGCTTGTGAATAACCAATCATAAACAACTCGGCGTTCAATGTGCGGAACCTAGTAATTTGTAACACCTCACTTCGTCGAGAAGGCTAATGAGATGATCTCTAGCAACAAGGATTCAAAAATCCTTCTCGGCAGAGACTTGGATAGATAACCAGTCAGCTTCGTCGCAGTGCTATCCAAACTGAAGGTGCTCTGCGGTAGGCTAATTCTACGGCAACAGTGTTGTTTATCCAAACTAAAAATGTTCGCCGGTTGCCTTCACAGTGTTGTTTATCCAAACTGAAGATGTGTCAGTGGCAAAAAGAAAATAAAAATCTCAAGGTTGTTGAGAGGTTTCACGTAGAGCGAGGGTTTGCGCAGGGCAGTTTTTGTGTTGAATTGGCGGGGCTCTGAATGATGCATCCCCTTTTTATTTATATCCAAACTGAAGATGTGTTAGCGGGAAAAAGAAAATAAAAATCTTAAGGTTGTTGAGAGGTTTCACGTAGAGCGAGGGTTTGCGCATGGTAGTTTTTATGTTGAATTGACAGGGCTCTGAATGATGCATCCCCTTTTTATTTATAGCAACCACTCTCGTCATGGCCGAAACAAAACTATACTCGGATTAAAGTTCTTTATCCTAACCTCACAAAGATTTGACCAATCCTACCTCCTCCTTTGTCCGGCCATATTCACTCAGCATCCTCATCCTATTGAGACTTCCTATCATACTAGGATTCGACCTACCTCATCAATCCGTCTTAAACTAGAGTTCGGCCAATCTTAACCAAGCGGCCCATAATATCCAGAATTTGCGATGGTTCTAGAATTATACTGCCGGGCCAAGAACAACCGCTTACTCGGCCCATACCAATATTTTGGGCCCAAACAACATACCACAAAGTTGGTACATCATTGGAACATTTGAGTTTTCAATGTAATTTTTTTTGTAATAGTTTCGAACTCTCTCATTCCCCTTATTATAATAGTAAATAATAATAATAAAAAATAGTTTTAAACGTACCAAGAAGTTGATACATTTATTTTGATTTGGGACTTCAAAAAAAAAAAGTGGGCCATCGCTACAACAATTTATCCTTCCGAGGCCGAAGACTCGCAAGAGTATTTCAACCTCCCCCAACATTAATAAAAAAAAAAAAAAAACAAACAAACAAATCAAGCAAAAAGCATGCCTGTGTAATACAAACTTGAAATTAATCCTCAACCACTGAATCACTCCATGATAGTTTAATTTATAACATTTTTAATGTTGTAACTATGGAAAACAAGATTAATTTTTCAAATCCAACAAAATAAAAAAAAACGTTTTTCATTCCTTTATTATATTTTCTCCATTAGAAATAAGTGTTTTGAAGAATACATTAAGAATGATGTTACACACGTGTGTCCATCTCTATTATAGAAGTAGTATAAATGTGATATAAAATATATAATGAGAATAACATTTTTAATACATTAATGAATTTTTCAATTTCATGTAATCATCAATCTTCCCATATTCTAGGCAATTAGTTAGCTGGATAGATATAGGTGCAATAATATTTTTTTTAATTAATAGTAATAAATGAAATTTCATATCATAAAAAGGGTTTCGTAGTATCTTACATGACACCACTTTTATTCAAAACCTAGACGTTAAAAATACCCGATACCAATCCCCAGTCCCTTTGACAGCAAGTTTCCCCACCAAAACTCTTAACCCCCGAACCCGTACAGAGTCCTGCCCTGCCTCTTGAGCGCATAGACAACGTCCATGGCCGTCACCGTCTTCCTCCTTGCATGCTCCGTGTAGGTAACGGCATCACGAATCACATTCTCGAGAAAGATCTTGAGGACGCCGCGAGTCTCCTCGTATATCAGGCCGCTGATTCGCTTCACGCCACCTCTGCGGGCCAGGCGGCGAATCGCTGGCTTGGTGATGCCCTGGATGTTGTCACGGAGGATCTTCCGGTGACGTTTTGCTCCTCCCTTGCCGAACACCTTGCCTCCCTTTCCGCGTCCAGACATTGTTGCCAGCCAAAATTCTCAAAAACCTGAACACAAAACTAAAACAAAACATCAGAAGTCAGAGAGAGGAATCTGAAACCATAATCTACGTGAAACTGCAGAAATTTGAGAAGGGAGGGAAGAGAGGACCTGAAAATTGCAGAGAAAGTGAGAGAGAACTCGTTTGCTTTTGGGGAATGCAATGCATGGTGTGTTTGGATTTTGTGGGTATTTATAGGGCGATGCGGGATCCTGAGATGAGGGTCGATCCGCGTGGTAGATGGAAGGAAGGTTTTGGGCAGTCGATGGATTAGTGTTGGCAGTGGAGATGGAGGTGAAGGGTGAGTGAGGATCGATGACGTGGGTGTTTGCGAGTTTTCAGCGCTTTGTTTTGTGTTTCTTTTGGTTTGATTGTTCGTCGTAGGATAAAACTGCGCGGGGGCGGTTGGCGCCCGTTTTGGGAATGGGCTCTGTGAGGCCCAGGCTTTTTATGCGTGATACACCCATCAAACTGGTCGGTAAACCCCATCTTTTTTAAACCATTGTATTATTATTGTTAGGTGAGTTTAAATGTAAAGTAGTACACTGTTTGGTATTGTTGTGCTTTGAAAAAAAAAAACTGTTTTTGCTGTGCTTTGAAAAAAAACTGCTGTGAAATAAATGAGCAGAATGTTTGGTAAACTTTTTTTGTAAATGTGCTTTTGAAAAAACACAAAAAAATAGTATTACAGTGTTTGGTAAACTTTTATGTAAAACAGTTATAATTGTGTGAAATGACAAAAAATGGTATAATACTAGATGTGCCATTAATTTAATTTTCTTAACAAATATAGGTGAATTACTCAATATACTTTATTTTTAAAAGAAAAATATTTATAAACTTTACCTTAAACATATAATCCAACGTTTAACAAGAAATTATAATCCAATGTTTAAAAAGAAATCATAATCCAACATTTATGTTGCTTCACGTTTTCAGCATTTTTTTTACCCAAAATTGTGAAAATAAGCTGTTTTTAAGTATTTACTAAACACCTTTTTGAGCTCAGTTTTTTGTTATATCAAAGTAGGTTATAATACAACTAAAGACCTACTCGGTAAACCCTAAAAGTTGATGTCTTGAATCCATGACTTGTTTTAAATTTTGCTCAATTTCCATATTCATGTTTCATGGCAAAAGAAATTGGTTTTCAATATGAATTGCGTTTTAACCTAAATTTCATATTGAAATTTAAGATAGCTATATATTAAAACTTGTCCTTTTGACTCGAAGGAATATTATAGACTATTAATTGATATTGCATCCTATTTCGATTTCAGTATCCCATTGCGTTTGTACATGTTTATTAGCTTTATCACAACTACCTTAATTGAGTCTCCTATGTGGTTGTGGACATATAATTTGGGATGTTAAAATTAAAAAGTTATGAAAAAGGCATTAAGTATATTCGTCATGATCTGGAAGTTTTTGGAATTGGCATATGTATGTATTCAATGCCAATGATGACAAACTTTTTTTACATATTTCGGCAAGGGAGTTGTTATTAGTACTCTAAAAATCTCATTCTACACTCCAAACTTTCTATATTAGGAAAGAAAAATACACTTGTGAGGAGAAGTGTAGAATGAGATTTTTGGAGTGCCAATAATACTTCTCTTCGGCAAAAGGTAAACATGGTTCTATAAAGTCATAAACCTATTAGTTTCCTTTTTTATTTTTTGTCAACACATAGAATTTCGGGAATGTAAATAGGCATATATATATGTGTGTGTGTGTTTCGATTTTGATTTTCAGTTCTTAGTTTGAATGTTGATAAAATTCGTGGGAATGGCATATGGCATAGTCGCATAAATACTACATAATATGATGGACTAACATTTATTTTATCATGCTTGTATTCCTAGAAAAGGAAAGGTACACGACCTTATTAGTTTTATCATCATTCAAGGTTATTGCATAATTTTTGGCAACATGGAGAATTTAAAGACGTTAATAAGCATTAAGAATATGTGGCAACCCACAATTTGCTTTAACATATGGTTTTGACTTGGATTCTTTGTTCAAGTTTTTGATAAATTACTTTCTGGAGATTCTGGGTGCTACTAATGTAAATTGTGTTGCGGGTTCTTGGTTAGTTCACATACATTGTAAAGTCTTGATATATATACGAAAAATCTGATTGCATGAAAGTGGTAATTTAAAGTGATTTTGATTACCTTTTATTCATTAAGTTTCTGTTATATGCTATCAGTGGTACTTGCAGCCTTGCAATTCATATGCACATATGTAAATCTCATGTTTGTCTTCAGTGATATACATTATTTTTCAGGCATGATAAGTTCGGAATGCATTCGGTGAGGTATGCATATGTTTAATCCATGTCTATTTCAATGGATTTTAATTTAAAGGTCATAGCCATGTATGGCTTAGTTTTCAGCTTTAACTAATGATACTTCATATGTATATTGCTTATGTTATAGCCCATCCTTTGGTATTATGAGATTAATTGACTGTTGGGATAATAGTATGCAGACTATATTGTTGAATGAGTACCATAGATATGTATTGTTGCTGAAATTGGCTAAAGAGGGAACAACCTTGTTAAGAACATTAGATGACACCTTTGATTATGAAGCCTACAGGATTGTGTATATCACATATGTGATGGTCTTGAAGTAGTGTATGAGACAACTATTGTCGCAAAGCATGTGAATTCATAAGTTTAAATGTAATTACATCCTTATAATGTGTCTAAATTGTGACAACCAGTTCTTAATTTTATGTTTTTATTAATTTTAAAAGTGTGAATTTACAAAAACACCCTAAAGGCAAGGATTTTGACTTTCGTTTACCATCGTTTAGAGGAACGTATGATTTATTCTTTTACCGTATCCTTGCAGTACTTGTTGGTGTAAACGCATAGGCGAAAACCGTTTGCGAGTCCGGATGATAATGGTATAGTTACGGACTTTTGAATTTGGTTATTTATATTTCAGTTGTAAGTTAATTTAACTCCTTCAAGGAAGTAGCCCAATCAAATTTTAGGCACAAAGGACCAATCACATAAAAGGAAGGAAAACCTTCAGCCAATCAGAAAAGAAAAGTAAAAAAAAAAAAAGAGAAAGCTCCCAACTTCCCTATCACCCACACCTCCGCGACCTCCCATTTTCCGAGGCCGATTCCGGCTAACTCCGGTGGAGTTTTTCGATGCCACCACTACCATCTTGAAGCTCTCATTCCCCTCTACAAAACGCAACCAATAACCACCTTGATTAACCACTGTACGAGGAGGTTTGAGACCACGAAAGTCGACGGTTCTCGCGGTGCTCTGGCCACCATTTTCAATTTTCCGGAGAATCGGCAAAGCAATGGCCGATGCCACCACTTGGGCTTTGTAGCCCATCATCCTAGGAGAAAATCCTAACCACCCTTGACCCTATTGACCACCGTAGATTATGAATTGACGCCGGGAAGCTTTACGCACCTGCCAGCTTTGTGGACAAAATTGACTATCTTTCGTCCACTTTTGGACTTTGTGGCAGGCGACGATGGTTCATGATGTCTTAATTTTTGTGCTAGGGAGTCATAGCGCGAACCTCAGGTGAGTGAGTTTTTTCCTTTTATCGTATATAGATATGACTGATAATTCCACAAATGCTTTTAAATTGTTCTATGCATTTTATGCCATGTTATATATATATATATATGTTAAAATACTATGGTATGGTTGAGTTTTAGATTGGATTATGGTATATCTATATGCATATTATCGGCATATAATTACTGTGAATGCTTTGAAGTACTAAGTTGAACTACGAATGACTTGATCTCGTTTGAGGGTACGTAGGCAGTCTAACAAGACAGTTAGATGCAGCCATAAAACAATCCAAATTTAACATGGTATTGGGTTTCTTTAAGGAAAGAAGTTATGATGGTTAACAGTGTAGAGATTAACCATGATTTTATTCTGGTCTATCACTGGGTTTAGTTCTGATTAAGAATGTTGGGACGTTAAAGTGGTTATGCCAAATGACGCTGCGAATGCCTCGGTAAGCTTCATGTGAGTACATGTTGATGACAGTGATTTCAATGTGTATGGTTATGTTTTTATGCATTTAATGCTCATTATCCTGCACCTCGGTGTTAGTGCTCCGCCCGAGAACAGGGCCTAGCCTTCACGTGATCATAGCACTTGAGCTTATTTATTTACACACAGCCTGTCGTACAGACCACATTAAGTGGTTCCAACTCGTGTGCAGGAATTGGTAAATGAGCTATATAGGCAACTCCGACATAGTCATACAAGTTGCAATGAATAGGCAACTCCGACACTGTCGTACAGGTTGCCTATGAGTTGTACAGGTCATTGTACGTGACTCCGACTTAGGTGCTAGCATTGATTGATGAGATATCGATAAGTTGTACAGGTCACTATTGGTGACTCCAACTTATGTGCTAGCATTGATTGATGAGATATGGGGGAGTCATACAAGTCACTATAGGTGGCTCCGACTTATGTGCTAGCATTGATCAATGAGATATGGATGAGTCGTACAAGTCACTATAGGTGACTCCGACTTATGTTTTATAGTGACTCCGACTTATGTGCTAGCATTGATTGATAAGATATGGATAAGTCGTACAGGTCATTATAGGTGACTCCGACTTATGTCTCATGGATGAGTCATACAGGTCACTATTGGTGACTCCGACTTATGTGCTAGCATTGATTGATGAGATATGGATGAGTCGTACATGTCACTATTGGTGACTCCGACTTATGTGCTAGCATTGATTGATGAGATATGGATGAGTTGTACAGGTCGCTATTGATGACTCTGACTTATGTGCTAGCATTGGTGACTCCGACTTATGTGCTAGCATTGATTGATGAGATATGGATGAGTCGTACAGAGGTGACTCTGACTTATATGCTAGCATTGATTTATTGAGCACATGATTATTTATACTGCTCATGAGATGTTGTGTCGTGGTATATTTATGGATTTACTGTTGATATACTTTTGATTTTACATTGATACGTGGCATGATTTTTTTTAAACTATACAGGTGTTACAGCGAGGGGTTATAACGACTTAGAAGGTTTTTATTAAAATTTTATTTCTAGGGCCACTCAACCTTGCTTTGTTTCCACCCTCCGGGTTTTTTTAGCTGAGCTTTCTTATGGACGAGGATTCGGAGCAAATTTTGGTATTGGAGATTACCTTCAATGGTATGATTCTCAAT